CCCCTTATGTACCTGCAAGGCAACTTCTTTAGCATGCATAGTCCAAGGAAACACTTGTATTTAAACATGGATAGAATGATCAGCAAAGCTTAGTCTATAGTGTGCTGCAGTTTTCTTGGGTTTTATCCAGCAGTTCTCCAGGAGAACTTGTCAGTCTGGCTGCTCACCCTTAGATACTTTGCCAGTCTGATACTTTGGCAGTTCTGAAAGGAAAACAGTGAGACTTCTGGTAGGGGGGTATTGAACTGTTAATAGGAAGAGAGAAGAGTAGATGCAATTGAATGGAAGGACAAGGGGTGATAGGTTGTTTCCAAATCTCTGAGTCTGTGTCTTGAGGTCTATCACTTTTTAACAAATTGCAAATAACAAGGTGACAAGTTGCAAATGCAATCTCACACAGACACAATCTTTATTTTTAGTCTGGAAATTGTCCAGCTTTGAAAGAGAAGACAAGGTATTTCAGAAAAGCACCATCCTACCTTGTGCACTTAGCATTCTGTACAGGTTTGGGGTTTTTTTCTAATTATCTCTAGTCCTTGTATGCTTTTGCATGTCAAGCCCCTTTGGCTAGTGAATCTGCAAATAAAAAAAAGCTTCTATCTGAAGCCAGAGGTTCCTAAATGCCTCACGGACATGTTTTCATTACAGCTGTCACACTGTGCAGTTGCCAAAGTCTGTTGTGACAAATCATAGCTCTGAAGGTAGATTAGCAGACATTTATCATCTTTATTTGTGACAAAGAAAATGCAAATGTATCTTAGCTGATTGTTTGTTTCACTGAATCCTACCGTCCTAACTTGCATCACTTAAATCTCCTTTTGGTTTCTCCTTCCCCATAATTTTCCAGAACAAGCGTGAACTGAAAGTGTACATAAATATATAATTATGCATTCTCTCTTGCCCTGCCTACTTCTGATGGGGTTTATCATGTAAGATGAAAAATAAGTGGAAAATGTTGTAGCTGACATTTGTAATTTTTTTGACTGAAATTTATGCTATTCTCTCACATATGGAGCAATATATGCAGGAGCAAAAGGTTCTTGCTCTTTATTAGGTGTTGTTCTTCTATATATTCTCATATAGTTACAGAAAAAGCAAGGCTGAAGGCATGCATCCTGATGTTCTAGGTGCAGAGACTGACCCTTATAGTGAGAGAGTTTATTTTATGATCTTGAGCCAACCTCGACAAAGTTTTGCCTCTTGCTGCTATTGGGCTACAGAATCTGTTATTCTGGAGACACTTAATCACTCATGATCATCAACCCTGAGGTTTACATTAGTGGGTTTTTTTAATCTTTTTAAAAAATGTTCAGATTCCACACGATTTATCTGTGGAGGTGTAAAAAATGCACGTATTCACAATATGTTTGCACCTTGTAGACATTTCTTGTGACCCTTTAGGAAGTAATGCATGGACTCCCACTGTGATCTATGGATAACAAGTTTATGTCCCCTGCTTTGGCTATGATGACTGAAGAAATAACATACATGAATAAATAGCAGATGAGATGTACAAATTTCAGCTTGCTTGAAAAATTTATATTTAGGAAAGTTAAACTTCTTCCTATTTTTAGAATGAACATTCTTCTCAAGTCAACACAGTTCTCACAGGCTTTTCATCTGCACATGCAGACATATCAAGAGAGGAATATAGTTTGATGTATCAAATTATTTTCTACAAATGAGGATGAGCCATATAATTTATAAACACACTAACAGCAGACAGCCCACTGTATCAAACCAATTCATTGCCAGAAGCAGACTTGATACTGTGTCATGTGGGAAAATAGCATTTTCATTTCCCTTAAAACAGAAGATGAAGTCTTCCTACATAAAAAATTAGTAGTAATTCTGCTTTCAGTTTTATTCAGAATTCCCTCTGTGCGTGCCACCATCCATTCCACACAATGTTGGTAGGCAACAAAGAAGAAGTCTGCTTTTAAACTTACAGTACAAAAATGTTGAAAATCGGATTCTGTTCCTTCCATGGATTTTTTTTTTCCTTTTTTTATAATTAAAAGTGCGTTTTTCCTTGCAGTTATTGGGTGATATTGGGTGATATTTTTAATATGAACATTTGATAAATTAATTCATATTGTGCAATAGCTGATGAAGTATCTGAAAGATCCTCACAAGACAGTGATGGAAGATTTCAGAGATGCTCCTATCCTCCCTTGCCCAAGTCTTTGAGAGGTAGTTTATGCTTCTGCTAGCAATGTTTAGTATACCAGATACCATATTAGTTCTATAATGGAAAATGACTGTAGTACCCAGCACATATTAAAATTTTTGCAAGAGTCAGGCAGAAATTTCTTTGCTCCCTAAATGAAAGTTCTTTAGGTCCATTCAGTTTTTAAGGAGTTTTCTCATTGTTGTTTGGTGTGATTACAGTTGTAGCTGTTCCTGCTCTACCTTTCTGCTATCACCTGATCTGAATTTAGGAGCAGGTTTTAGGGAATGGAGACATGGCAACTGCAACCTTGAGATTGTCCAGCATAAGAGCAAAAGAACCGGCTTCTGCATTTGGATGCCTCCTCTCCATCTCCCTCCTCACTCCTCCCATTTCACTGTTGATTAACCTCCCTAAGATTTTCATAGCAGTTTTTTAGTCCTTGTAGTAGATTTGTGACATAGGAAGAGCTTTCTTGGTACTGGTATCCTAAAAGCTTGTAGCAGTATCATTCTGCATTTACATGAAGAAGAGTTTAACAAGCTGAGAAGCAAATTTTCTGTTCACAGACTCAAAGAATCACAGAATATTCTGAGTTGGAAGGGACCCATAAGGATCATTGAGTCCAACTCTTAAATGAATGGCCCATACAGGGACTGAACATACAACCTTGGTGTTATTAGCACCGTACTCTAACCAACTGAACTAATCTCAGGGTTTAAGGTGCAAAGAAGGAAACAACATGCTTTACTACACTATTGCTATGAAACAAAGACCTTCAACTCTAAATAGCAGCACTTGCCTATGTGATGGAAGTGCATCCTTTATTTCTTATTTAAACAGTAGACAGATTGTTTTCACTGTTCAGTCAATATGAATGTAGTATCTGAACTTTAAGCTTTTCTTAGCCTCTTGATGTACTCACTGGAAATGCCAACTTAACCACATCAGTTAAAACAGAAAAATTGTGAGTTTTCAAAGCTGATTTTTTTTCTTGGTTATTTGCATATCCAAAATAACATTTTAGTTTGTTGGCTCCAAAATTTCTCTTACATGTCCAAAAGGTCTACTTGGTAGAAATGTCATTCCATTAATTTGGTCAGTCCAGACAATGCTTCTGAAATCTTGGAGAACCCTTAGGATGTAGGATATATGTCAACCCCCCTGGAACAGTCTTAACTGCTAAAGCAGCATCAACCTCCCATCCTTCATGGTACCATTGGTTCATGCTGAAAGGTAAGAGATGCCTTTTTTGCTGCTTTTGATCAGGTTCTCTGTGCATTTTATGTCATTGAGACAGGGTAGGTTCTTTCCACTTGAAGCATCCACCCAATGGATTCCATACGCAACCTATTAAATTAGATCTTCTTGAAATAGAGCACCTGTAACTACTCTTTAGCACTTTCCAGCTTTGGCAGGAAAGAAGAAGATTGTTTCTTGTTCTACTAGTGAATTTTCAACATTAGAGAAGGAACTCTAATTAAGTGCACAAATAGTCTATTTGGGCATTATTGTGGGAGTGCAAATCAAAACTGTGTCTGAGGCCTGGAGGGTAAGACATCATAACTGTAATCCATTTATATTTTAGGAACTGAAGAGCCCTGAATCCATAGTAGCACTGAGACAGCAGGTCTTCCCCGTCACAGAAAAATGACCTGTGATTTCACCCTTGGCCATGTCCCTTCCACCATCCCTCACTCGGAATATCCAGGAGAACCTCTGAGAACAATGTCTCTTGTTGCCTGTGACAGGGCAGTTTGCAAGGGAAGGCTTTCAGTATTTTCAGTCATGAGAAGAAACAGGATACAGCCCTTGTTAGCTTCATATGTAGCAAGAATTCCTGGAAGTGTAAACCTGCATTATTGGCAGAGCCTGTAAGAGCTAGCAGGCTCAACTATGAGAAACATTCATTGAAAGACTAAATAAATAGACTAAATACCAGCAGTATATGATAAGATGATAAGGCTTCAGGATGACCTAGTTGGACTTTCACTACCTGAAGGGAGACTACAAGAAAAATGGAGAGAGACTTTTTACAAGAGCATGTTTTTAAATGAACAGAGAGTAGGTTTAGGTTGGATATTAGGAAGAAGTTCTTTCCTGTGAGGGTGGTGAGGGGCTGGGACACATTTCCCAGAGAAGTTGTTGATGCCCCATTCCTTGAAGTGTTGAAGATGAGGTTGAATGGGGCTCTGAGCAACCTGGCCTGGTTAAAGGTGTCTTTTTTTTTGTCCACCTGACCTTCAGAGAGTGCTTATTTTGCCATGTGAAAAAATGAATATTATATGAATGCATAGGCTTTTTGTAAAAAGTTAAGTAAAAAACCAGCATGAGCTTAGCCAGACATGAAGTGCAACTGAATAGAAAATGCTTTTAAATATGTATGAAAAAAACATTGACATTTAGTTACTTCCTGATTACCTAAATAATGGGAGGCAAGACTTAAATACCAATTACTCTTTGGGAAAATTATTATTTTACCATTAATAGCAATGTATTTTGGCACCTGTCAGTAGGCTGCCGTGATTTTGTAATGGTGAAATTCAGGACTTTGTAATGGTTTCTGTTCCAGTGACTGACACACTGACAATTCCCTTGAAACACTGAATGCAACAAATAGTACATAGAATTTTCAAGGAAATATTTGACAAAATTTGTGTCCAAACTGACAAAAGTTTCCTCTAATGTTCTCCAACACATGGTGCAATTTTAGAAAAAACACTTGTGCCAGAGAAGCTGTTTTTAGTTGATTTTTAGAGGACTGCAGCTTGTTCAAACTTCATCTGGCTGTTACTCTCCTGCTTAATCCATGATCTGTATCTACTTTTAGGATCGGTGGAGCACTGCCAACAGTCTTCGCCTATTTTTCGGAAGTGCTTGCTCGGGAGAAACGAGGTGAACACCTGAGCTGGCTCTGTATGTTTTGGATGATTGGTGGTATTTACGCTTCTGCAATGGCTTGGGCAATAATTCCTCATTATGGTAAGAAAACAGCACCTTGTGATTTGTAGTTCTTCTAGTGTGAAAGTAAAGCTCTTGAGGTATATCTTAAAAGGGGGTATTCATGTCTGTTCTCAAAATACTGACCCCACTTTTGGTGAATATAGTAAGAATAGGTTGTACCCTAAATAAGAAGTAATTTATTAAAAGAGACAAAAATTAGCCAATATCCATGTTTAGTCAGATTCTTTAAATTACTGAAAACCTGAACACATGAAAATATAATTGGTTTTACTGCTGAATCTGGGGAAAATAGATCATGTGGAGACTTGCATCAGAGAAAATAAATTTTAAATTGCTGTATGTCAAATTGGTGCTTATTTTGATACAGAGATAAATTGTCAATTATACATTATTGAGAAGAAGAGTGAGAAATTTCTTAATGTTTGCAGTGCTGAAATCTGAAATTAGTCTGAAAAGAAAACTGTGCAGAATGTTTCTTAGTAGATCTTTTTAGTGGTGTAAAAAAAGGTATATGGAACCGAGTGCACTTAAATGTGGTAAGGATGCATAAGGGCAATGGCTGAAGTTATACACACACACAATATAAGCTACATTGTGAAAGAGCTCTTTAATTGCCCTGACATGGTTAAACATAATATGGAGGTACAGATTCAATTCTGAGTCTCTTGGGCTTGCCTTTCAGAAGAGTTAAGTGCTCAAAGGTCTCCAGTGTTGCTGAGACTGCTCAGGGGTTCTTAAAAATCAGCTTCTCAAGCACTTCTCCCTGGCAGTCCTCAAGTGAGTAAAGCAGCACACTGAGTTAGCTGGCATCCAGAGCAACTTTCTTTAGCCAAGCAGTGCAGTTTATCACAGTTAGATTGTGAAACAGAGGACAACTTCATAAGGTTTGCCCAAAGTCATTTAAACATTTAGCAAGTGGTAATGTCCAGAAACAAATTACAATAATGCGGACTAATCAAATACTTAGACTGTTGCATTAAAATTAATTTTAGAGTCCAGTACACTCAACCTGAATCTATATCTTCAACCTTGCCTTTGACTTTGAATAGTTGGAATCAAAGAGAGGAATTTTTGCTGATAAGGCACCATGCGGATTCTTTTTTTCCAATTAGTAAATTGCTTTGGTTGCCAAGTATGGTTTTGCTTTCCTATGGATTTTTATTTTCTTTATCTTTCAGTTGAAAATGCAAACATTATGACAGACTGATTTACAGAGGTTGTTTAAATATAAAATTGTAGATTTTATAAATAACTCAATATCCTCTACTGAGGTACTTCTAAAACATCACATGGCAGTATATCTCAATGAATAATACAATTCCTTCTACCAAAGCAGTGGTACTAGAGAGAAAAATTTTCTTCTTTCTTTAGCAGTGGAAGAATATCAACAACAAAAAACAATGCTGCACAGATTTTTTTTTTTGGTGTTGTTTTTTCCTCATGTGAAAATATTTGTTAAATAACATAAGAGAAAAGCTAGCCATATAAGTCACTTTTGCAGTTTATTAAGGAAAGTTGTAATAGTCAAGAGGAGGGCAAAAAAACCAAGCTGTAGACAAGAGAAACAATCCTTTCTCACAGTAAAAGAAGTTCATACATCATTTTGATGGCAAAATTGTTTATGGGTTCTGATGAAGTCTTAAAGTTGTCTTTACTTATAAACCAGATTTTTTTTTTTTTTATGTTGTAAAGTTTAAGACTAGTGTCTTAGTTCCTAGTGTAAATGCGAAACCATTCCAGTTCATGCATAATGTGTTGTTGTCATGCTACTGTGCTGAGCTCGGCCACTGCCAAGTGCTCGCAGAGCAAACCCTGCTCCAGCATTTGGAGGGTGTGGTCACACATTCCTATATCCTCCTGGAAACACTCCACGACAGAGGAATACCCGTGCAGATCTCTGCACCCTTTGTACAATATGCATTTAGGAGGCTCGTACGGTATTTTGTCTTTTACAACTTCTTCATTGTTTCTATGGATTTATTTTGCCAGAATTAATCAAAGATAAAGATTTTTCTCCAAATCACTTCCAGTCCATCATTTACATTTTCACTGACCAGGAAGCAAAACATAATTATAAACAAAACACCTGCTTCTAAACCTCTTTTATATAGTGTGTAGGGATTTCTGAGCTCTCTGCTTCTCTTTTGAGGAGTAAACCATGTTGATTTTTCTCAGATGGACTCAGAAGTTACTCAACAACAGTGAATGAAGTTGCATGAAGTTGAAAAGAGGTAAACTATCATTGAGCATAGTGGAATTATTCTTAAATTAATAGAAAGACTTCAGGTCGACACAGTAGAATAATTTCAAATATTCTTTTCTTCCCTCTTTTACAAATGTATACCTTTCATTTTTACTGCTTTTTATATAAACCACTTCAAAAAGTCCTAGATTCAGAAATATACATTATGTAGCCAAGGCAGTCATGGAAGCTATGCATGCAAGTTTACTAGTTGAACATTCAGCTGTATCTTTCAGTGAGAAAACAAATATTGGGTTCTCTGTATGTAATAGTTTACCTCTGTTGTTAAAGCAGAGCAGGAGTGTGTGAAATATGGGGAGAGAAGAGGCTCTGAAACACAAAATAAAGTGTAGCTAACAGTTGTCTTGGCATCAGCATGTCGTTAAGTGAGGAATTAGCATGATATACTGCTGCAGTGACCACATATTGAAAGGCTAATATTATCTGGAGGACAAGCATCACTGTAGTAGGACTTTTGATTACTGTATCTGTTGGGTGTTGTTTAAAAATTGAAAATGGATATAGACTTGTTCAGGGTCTCCTAAACCAGAGCTCAGGCCACAGAGAAGATATTAGAAGAAACATCTGCAGAGAAATGCTTCTAATTGCAGCTAATTAACAAAGCCCAGGTTAGGCTGCTACAAAGAAATTGTTTTATGCATACTTATATCAGGCTGGATAGGAAGAAGAATAATAATTTGATAAATACTTTTACAAATGCAACTTTAAATTTAGCATTATGTTTCAAGGTTACATTAGTTCAAAGATCTACTTGGTCTTACAATAGTCTTTAAAATGTTCATTTTCCAAATAATGAAGAATCCTAAGACTCAGAATTTCCATTTAAAATCTAGACAGTGATATCTTAAATTTTTTATACCAGATTTATGTGTTAGTCTGAAAATAGAAATAAAAAAGAACTATGAAAGTTGTTTTATCAGTTAAAAATAAACAAACAAACAAAAGTTGTGTGCCATACCCTATGTATTTTTGTAAAAATCAGTCTCAATTTTTATTGTAACATATCTCCAAACTAATAATAGGAATCTGGATAAGGATTTCTTTTATTAACTTCTTTTATTCTTAAATCTTATTCCTCAATAAGAAGGGGAGTACTTGTCCAAAAAGAAATTAAATTGCAAGGCAGACAACAGGATGGTGCAGGTGCCCAGGCTGCTACAGTGCAAGCTGCATGTGAGTTCTGAAGCTTTTCCCACACTCTAACACGCCACTTCTGGTAGGTACCAGAGGAAAGAGGAGATAGCCATGTCAGATTACTGTACTGAACGAGTCTCCAAAGTATGATCAGAAACAGAGACATTAATTCCATATATATGCACCGAATTCCAATTAAATTAGGCTGGATTATTCCCTAAAAGACTGTAAATTTAATAATACAGAATCAAGGAAATAGGAAAAATACTTCTTTCTGACACACTCAATGCAAAAAGCAGATACAAGTGTAAATATTTATTCAGACCAGTGTAATCACATTGCATAACAGATCTTCATCTAAAGCATTCATTTTTCATCACTTGAGTCTTTTTTCCCACTGAATTGAGGACCACTTACTTGTGTTCATAAGAGAGGTATTTAACACCATTAAGGAAACAAATTTGGAGTAGAAAGAACTGGAATAAAAAACCTAAGGGAAAAGCATTCAATTTCAGAAGTGAAGATTTCTTGCCTGGCTGCAATGTGTCTCTCTAGGTGTAAGTAGGAATGTATTAATATGTTCTCTTTTCCAGCAGATTTTTCCATTACATCAGCATACAACTGATGTTTTATTCTGTGACTGAAAGAAGACTAGTTACAAATTATATTTCTACTTCAGTCATCAGAATTTTACTAAACTAAAAAAAAACACTTTTTTCTGATTTTTTTTTCTTTTTGAGACAATAACTTCTTTACAGTAACATAGAACTTAAAAACGCAGACATAAAGGTGTCCAAAAGATGCATTAACAGTTGATTTGCAAAATGCTATATTTAAAATATTAACAATAACTTCTATTTTTAAAATGTATCATTATGTCTCCCACTTTCCTTACTTCTCCCATTCTTTTCCTGGTCTGCAAAATACCTTATTTCTACTTTTCTCTGAACATCTTTGCCTATTACTTTTCTCCAATCAATATAATTAGATGAGTTTAATGGACAGAAACTGGAGTTTAGTTTAGATAAGAGAGAAATTAAGTTTTATATACAGATGTAATATAGTACTGACATAAACTGACAAATACATTTACAGAATCTCCATCACTGGAGGTTGTTAAGGGCACATCAATTCACAGTCTGTTCTCAGTAGTTTAGAATCACATTAAATTCACCAGACCTACCGCTGGAGACCTGTTCTTAATTTTACTTTCCATAAGTAGATAGGTCCTTCCATAGGCACAGGAGTCCATAAATGGCTTCTATTTCTATCTAAGTGTAAATGTGATGAGAGTGGACCAATCTGTTTTTCTTTCTACTAGGAAGTGGCTTGCAGAGTTGCCTGAAAAACATTTCTCATTTTGTAGCAGAAGATTGTTGAGGTGAAGCAGATCAGTTCACCTGAAGAAAATAACTTCACTGACAATGAAAACAATCTTTTCTAATTAACTTTTTGGGTAGGTTGCTTGAGAATAGCTTTTGTAGTGTTTTACATGTCATGTTTGCTCTGTTCTTGTGTCATCCAGCTGGAGACAAAAAAGAAAAATATATCTTCAAAACTACAATAAAACCCCCTTCTGTATGAAACTGTCGTGTACTTTACTGTAGTAAAATAAGCAAGG